ATTGTATTGGATACATGTATATTTATATACAATGTATTGAGTTGGGGGTTAAATGTAGGAATATCAGTTGTCTACATGAAATGCAGGACATCAGTGAGTCCATTACTATGATATTCTCCTGAATATTTATTAGTTTTTAAAATAGTTTTTAACCTGGGTCACCATTTCCATGAAGAGCTCTTACATGTCCAAAAATATTGATAATCTCTTAGATACATTTTTGGCAGTTACCATGAATTGTATTAGGCAGTTTTGTGGTCTTCATGCTTGCTTCAATACAGATTATAAACTTTCATTAATCATTCAGATGGCTGTATAGTTACACCCACTGAGGTTATCGTGCCAAACTGTAACATGTGCTATCTTGAAATGTTGCAATAGTAAAAATGTCTTTTGCATCTCGTTGTCATATTATAGAACCTCTTCTCTATCATGTGGGATAGGCTTTACATACCAGCTTGATTTAAGACCATTTGATAACAAGTGATTTTTAAGCATATTGGGAAGTAAAGTTTAAAAAGTCAAGCATCAAGTGTTATAGTGTGTGTGTGTAGAAAAGAATGGAATGGGAGGCATTTGGTGTGAACTTGTTTTCATGCCAATAAGCAATCTATCTATGGAAATTATGGTTACAAGGAGGCAAGAAACAGGTATTTCAGAAAGAAATCACAGGCATGAGGCAATTCAAACAGAAAAAAAAGTTTTCAAACGTTGTTAACTTTAACAATGCACAACATTAAAATATTTAGATAAATGAAGTGCAATTTTTTAGATTTATATACTTTCATCTTAGGAAAAAGCATACTATTTAATATAAAGTATTTGAAATCTATATTTAGGCTGGAATTTGTTCATTTATGATCAGAATAACTGTTACAATTGAAAGCAAATATATGTCCCAGGGTAATGTTGCAGGATCCAATCTGAATCGGTCACCAGGAGCAGAAATTTAGTCTTCCAAGCTTTCAGATTCGTGCTGAAGCCCATCCTTAGGAAACTTATCTCTCTATGTGCCCAATAGGTCTGAGGGAGACCCCTATTTTGTGTATCTTGGGGAGTCCATAAAATCTCCCTGGGACAGCATCTATTCATATCATTTTTCTACCATTCCTTTTCTGTTATACAGTTGTTTTGTTTAAGTTGGCTGAGATAAGCATTCAATTATGTGACCATTGTTCTCATCTCTGATGGTTTTACTGATCTATATGCCAAGGAATCATTGAGCGGGGCAAATGCCTTCATTTCATAATCTGTGCCCTTTATCACCACTGTTGAGTGGCCTTTATTTGCTGATAAAATAATAATGTCCTGATCTTTGTTTCAGGGCTTTCATGGAATGTCTCTCCATTGGGCTGAACATATTACTTCATTTATCTATGACCAGCATTTCCGATATTGTTTTTCTGGCTCTTCAATCTCTTTCTGTTGAATATAGATTCTAATGCTGCTATGAATTCTCTTGGTGTGGCATCTCCTGTGTTAAACCCCTCATTGTGTTCAGTTATTTGTGATCCCAGCTGACTTGTTTACTTGATAAATTATGGACCAAATTCACACAGGTTTGGGACCATGGCTTTAGCTTTTGAATTATATCCTCCAACTATTTCCTTTTTCTCATCTGTCTTTCTTTCACAAGGATCCCAATGACATTCTCTAGGTGGGCGACTAGTTCTTCTTCAAGCTGTGATAGATGATGCCCCTTATGTATATTAATAGCTGCTTTATATTTGCCCAATCATAAATGGCAGTAATTGATTAAGACTTCTAACATACATTTGCTGAATGCTTTTGTTGTACATCCACCCATCTCCGAGCTAACTGGTGGTTGGTATTGTAAACTGCATGGAATGACCCCTTCCCAAGTGCATTGATGTAAGGAGCATAGTTGTTCGTAAGTGGACACCTTGCATACTGTGAAGGAATCCCAAAGTCAAAGTGTTCAAAGCACTAGCTGCCTGCATCTGTCACAAATGAAGGCAAATATATTTTTTCAAAGATAATGTTCTGGGATCCAGTCTGAGTTGGTCATTGGAACCAGATTTAGTCTTTCAAGCTCTTGGACTCATGCTGGAGGCCATCCTCAGGGAACTTCTTTCTCTATGTGTTTACCAGGAATAGCCAAAGGAGTCTGATTGTTCTCTGAACAAAGAAATTTAAAGAGAATTTCTGACTTGTTTATAATTAAGACATATACTGAATTCTTCCTCTAGGCTTTCTTACCCTGAAGTCTTAGGGCTTGCTGAGGAAAAAAAGTCAGCAAAGGAATGCAACTGGTTGAGGAGCTTAAATATTATTCAAGAATTTTCATTTTTGGTAACTAATAGCTTTTGTTCTTTCATAAGCCAGCTATTTACACATTTATTATGCTCTTATACTTAATGTGTATGATTGCATACCTGAAACAGTGGAGAAGAGAAGAGAACAGAAGAGAAGAAAAGAGAAGAATTAAGTAACAATATGAGTGCTCCAGCAATAGCAAAAGTTAAGAGTCAGAACATTCCAGAAATTAGAATAATAATCCCTGTCTTGAAGGACAAAGCAGTAAAGCTCATGCATTTATGTTCATGTTTATTTTATTAATAATCTTTGTTTTGTTCTTAACTATTTATGATGTTCTTTTATAAACCATTTTGGAAAAAATAATTTTAAAATAAGGTTCAAATAATTTAAATAATGTATACTTCAATTGTAGTAAAAACTATCAATCCATAAATATATATCTGAAGAATTTCCATTTTGCTTGCATATTGATTATAACAAGATAACTAAATAACAAAGGAATTTAAAAACCCATATGCTAGCATTAATCACACATTTATTTATTCATTAATAAGAAATCTACTTTACACAGTAGCCAGAGGTGGTTTACATTAAAGACTACAACAGAAACTCAACAAACCTGGATTTTTAAAAATTTGTCCTACATATGAAATAAAACATGTTACAGCAAAGAATGAAATTTGATGAGGATTCTACCTTAAGGACAAAAAAAAAAAAACTTCACCTTTTATAATAACAAATAGTTGGAACCAGAGCATTGCTTTAGTGACACTGTTCACTTCAAGACAAGTCCAAACTTTTCAACATTATGAAAACTCTGCCTATTGCTTTGTAACAGAAAATTTATTACCACCAAATCATTTACAACAGACAGCATGCATTCCAAAACTGATTTGTTACTTTAGGCCACAACAACTCACTTTCAAAGTCAAAAAATTCATTATATTGTACAGGAGGAAGAGCGTGAATGAAACAATTCCCAGAGACTGGTTTTAATGAACATCCAGTCTAATATTTGCAATCCTGACAGGCTTGTTTGTTAATGCAGCAAAAACATCATTGGTGCACTAAATTATAGATGGTGTCTGAAGCTTAGATTCCTCCGTGAATTTTCTTCTTTCCATTCAATGCTTCAGTATCTCCATGGATGCTGGTTTCTTTCCTCTGAAACTGCCTAGGATTTGGCACGATCCCAATTTTGAAACACTGTGAACTAGTCTTTCTTCAGGGAGCATTGGTTATTCATATGGAAATTCAAGCTCTTTGGTTTTCAAGATTCCCCCATTATTCATTATTTGTACAACCTGCCTTTTCCTCTGAGAAGTTCCAGGAGGTCCACATGGACCTCTTTTGATCCATTTTATTTTCTCCCTAATGCTCTGCTGCTGTGTAGGCTGAGAGTCAATTATTTGGCATAAGGTCACCCAATGAGTTTTTCGTATGATCAACTAAAATTTTGTTCACAAAAAGTAATCTCCAAGCTGATAATCTAAGTCTGTTAACAAACTAAAATATTTACCCTCCAGCAATTGATTTAAGCAGAAACCTGCTTATTTAGCATCATTAAATGGTTGAGTGGTTAAATGAATGGCTCTTTTGAAATGTAATGAACTAAGATACAAAGCTAAAAAATAGAAGGGAGATATTTTGTGTACTACTTGGTTTATATTTGCTTTGTACACTTCAGTATATTTATTACCTCTAAAATTAAGGTAAAAATATTAAGAGAAAAGGAGTTTATAGTAAAGATGGGATTATGGCACTTGGTCAACTTTCTATTTGAAAGTTTGTTTCTTATTGTCACCTGAAACTTCCAAATGTTGTTGGACTTTAATTTCAAGTGTCCCTACTAGCATTGTTATTGTTCTAGAATAATAAAACTTCTCAGGATACTGTTCCTCTTCCTGTTGCCTCTCAGCACTTACTCATTAGCTTCCTCCTCATGTTCAGGAATTAGATTATTTTTGAAGAAAAAGAGAAAAGAAGATGTTTATACTTATCTAATCAATTTTACATGACACCATTTGCACCATTCCATGAGAAGGAAGAAATGGATATTTTTAATAAGCATGATTAACATTATGGTATATTTCATAATGTTTCAACCATGATGCATGTGTACAATTGTCTTGAAGAATTTATACCTTGTAGAATGTCTTACATTAAGGAGTTGTAACTGAATATATCTGACCTGTATCATTAGCTTCTATATTTAAATTAATGGAACACCAATTAACCAACTAATTTCTGGTGATATCTAAGACAATGCTGCATACTTTATCTTAATTATATGCTTTTTTATCAATTCATTTATTTTTTATCTGCATTTCAGTTCAAATGGAATACTCAAAGCAGCTTTTGGGATAAAAGAAGCAAAGCATGTGCTCAAATTACAAAGGCCAAACACTCAGGGTATAAATAGTACAATTGTTAGTTTTTGAGACCTGGCTGAAGAGATACATTTTTCACTCGTTTGCGAATCTCATTTTACATGTGCATATATCTGAAACCTACATATTTTGCACTGTCGAGTCAAAATACTATTTTAATATTGCAATTATTCAGAACCGTAAAGGAACATAGCTGAGACTTTTAAGATTACCTTTCACAGATTTAAACTCCTTAACGCTTCAGTCTCTTTAAGGTAGATCAATAAAATAAAATACTTTTGACCATAGAGGTGATGCTCTACCCAACAATGTTTCAATTATGACTGAGTTGCTTCGACATTTGTTTATTTCCAGAAAAGCAAAGGTACAAGGAGAGAACCATATTTGTCCAAAGAAAAAAAATAGTTGTTAAGTTCGTTATTGGCGTGGAATAACGCTTGAGGCGATTTAACTCGAACACAAAGATTTATTGTTTAACAACTAGTAACCAGAACGCAACGAGAGAAAACTTGAGGCAGGCTGCTATTTATACCAGCAGCTGTCAGAGAGATAGCCAATGGTTAACGAGTACGCCTCCCGCCTAAGGAACTGTCAACTGGTAGCCAATCAGCAGCTAATCCTGGTTGCTGATGGCAACAGGCAGAGGACGCTACACTCCTCCCCCCTTGGATGGCACATGCGTAGTCTGACAAATATGCAGGAACACTGCAATTCCGGAGCGGAAGATTCAAATCGTGGTGGCGAAGGTAGAGCCGTGCCCGGAGTCCCTGGTTGCTCACATGCCAAGGCCTGACTGTGCTTGATGACCCCACTGGCGAGCTAATGACTGGATCCGCAGGTAAGTCAGCCGACGGGGGTGACTGGGGGCAGACAGGCAAGCCGCGGCTCCGGCTCAGTAGTCGTTAACGGGGTCCGCCGCCATGCTTAGTCCTGAGTCTGATTCGACGTGGGCTGGAAGGGAAGCAAATAATCATCCTCAGATCTGGTCAATGTGTCGGCATCAGCTTCGACCATCCTCGAGCAGAATCCTATAAGAACAGGGGCCAGTTATTTTGGAGATTTGCCCAAGCAACCAACGAGATTCCCCCCCCGTAATTGTGAGCATACACTTGGTCCCCAACACTAAAGTCCTGACTCCATTAGTGGAGTCCAAAGGTATGTCCGTTAAATAATTCGGGTGCAGCCTGTCCAAGGCGGCGGCCCATGAGGAGCTGAGCCGGACTGCGATTAGTTGTCGGGCAGGGAGTGGTATGCTGTGCCAAAAGGTATTTTGTGATCTTCTCCCCCCAGTTGGTTGGCCCCAGTCTGGACAGGACGTCCTTAGCCGATCTAATTGCCCTCTCAGCCAAACCATTTCCAGCCGGATGAAATGGGGCCTCACCGTGGCATGGCGGATGCCCAGCTTGGTCAGGAACACCTGGAAGGTGGCAGAGGTGAACTGTGGGCCATTATCTGAGACGATCAGGTCCGGCAGGCCATGGGTAGTGAACCACGTACGAAGGATTCGGATAATGGCCTCAGAGGTAGTGGAGGACATGCGTGCCAACTTGACCCATTTAGAATACGCATCCACGACTATTAATATGGTCTGTCCCAGGAACGGCCCTGCCAGGTCAATATGCAGCCAAGACCATGGGCTTCTAGGTTTCCCCACTCCCGGGCGGGGGCTTCCGGGGGAGCCAGATGGGACTGTTGGCAACTCTGGCATCTACCTACCCACTCTGCTATAGCCTTGTCCAGATTGGGCCACCATACATAACTGCGATCCAGAGCCTTCATGCAGGCAATGCCCGGGTGCCCGTCGTGTAGACTACATAAAATCGGTGTCCGCAATGGGGGGGGGGACCACCACTCTGCTACCCCATAGAAGGCACCCCCTTAAGGCAGATAATTCATGCTGCCTCCTCAGATATGGCTGGAACTCCTTGGATACGTGGCCGCTAGGCCATCCCCTACGTACCCAATCCAAAACCTGGGCTATCTGAGGGTCTTTCTGCAAGGCTTTAGCCATGTCTAATGCTGTTACAGGGGCCTCCCATTCATCTACCAAAGAAATGGGGTCACCTGGAGTAAGGTCAGAGACAGGTAATGGCAAGGGACAGCGACTAAGGCCATCAGCATTTCCTAGGGCCTTCCCTGGGCGGTAGATGAGCTGGTAGTTGTATGCGGCCAAAAATACTGACCAACGAGAGAGGGGTGGTGGCATGATCTGGGGGGTCTGTTTGTTCCCTGACAACAGACCTAGAAGAGGCTTGTGGTCCGTAAACAGTTGGAAAAAACTGCCATATAAGTAATCATGGAATTTTTTGACCGCTGATACGATAGCCAAAGCCTCCTTATCTAATTGGCTATAATTACGTTCAGCGGGTGACATGGTCCTAGAAAAGTATGCTATGGGAGCCTCCCTTCCACTAGGCAGAATATGGCTCAAGACAGTGCCCACGCCATAGGGCGAGGCATCACAAACCAGGGAGAGGGGAAGACGATCTGAGTATTGGACAAGGACAGCGTCGGACATCAGTAGGTCCTTGACAGCTGCGAAAGTGGAGGCCTGTGCCCTCCCCCAATGCCATGGAGTTTTGCTGTCCAACAATCTGTGAAGGGGCTCTGCCACAGATGCTTTATGGGGCAAGAAAACGCTATAAAAATTAAGTAGCCCCAGGAATGATTGCAGCTCCACCTTGCATGTGGGAGTTGGGGCCTTCTTTATAGCTTCCACTTTAGAAGGTGTGGGATTTAGAAATCCCAAAAACTCTGTGCTGGGGACACCGAATTGGCATTTGGATTTTTTAAGTTTGAGCCCAGTCTGCCTGAATCGGGTCAGGACAAGACGCAATCGGTGAAGAAGTTGTGCCTCGCTGGTTGCAGAAACCAAAACATCATCGAAATAAGGTATGACTCCAAGTATTCCATGCAATAAGCACTCCATGAGGCTTTGGAATAACCCAGGGGCCACACTTATTCTGAACTGGAGGCGGCGACACTTAAAAGCCCCTTTATGAGTAACTATCGTTTGGGCGGCCACAGTGGCATCGTCCACAGGTAGCTGCTGGTAGGCCTGGGCCATGTCCAGCTTGGCGAAGATGGTGCCCTGACCCAGGGAATGCAGGAGGTGTTGAACCATGGGGACACGATATGGGTGCACTTGCAAGGCACGATTTAGGGTGCACTTAAAATCTCCGCAGATACGAATAGACCCGTTGGGCTTTATTGGAATCACAATGGGGGTCTCCCACGGAGAGTGGTCAGTGGGTTCCAGAACCCCTTGAGCCACCAACCTGACCAGTTCCTGTTCAACCTTGGGCCTAAGGGCAAATGGCACTCGCCTGGGTTTGAGGCGAATGGGGGCCACCTGTGGGTCGAGATTGAGGGAAATAGGAGAACCAGTGTATTTACCTAATCTGCTGTTGAAAACCTCGGCGAATTCATTGGTCAGGGCATCGAAAACATCAGTGGATGTTGAGTGGATGCCAGAGACTGTGAGGCCTAAAGCCTCGAACCAGTCAAGCCCAAGCAAGGTGGGGAGGTGACCCTTGACAATGATTAAAGGGAGGTGGCCAGAAAAATTCCCTTTCTCTACCCTGAGATTAGCCCGCCCCAGAATGGGGATGGTATTCCCTTGATAATCGCACAGCCTAGTAAAGCAGGCAGAAAGGCTATGCAGGGCGGGCACTAGCTTGTGGAGGGTATTCCAGGCTATGATGGATTTAGAAGAGCCTGTATCAACCTCCATTTGACAGGGAACCCCCTCAATCTTAACTGTGAGGAAACCTGGGGAAACCTGACTGGTCCACACCGCAGGGTAGGCGTCCTCTCGGAAAATTGTGAAACAGTCATCCCTAGGCTTGGCGGGACGCCTCTGGGGCCGTTGAAAGGAACGCTGGTCAGGAGCCAATCGGGCATCTGGAGTGGTGGCCCAGCAAACTTTGGCAAGGTGGCCTTTCTTCCAGCATCGCCGGCAGATGACAGTATTGAAACGGCATGAGGGTGGTTTTCGCCGCATCCCAGGCAGGCGGAAAACGGGGTCTTCCTCACTGAGGATCGCTGATCTGGCTGGGACTTCAGGCGGCTCACTTTGGTCTCCTCATCAGTGGTATCTTCGGAAAATTCTTCCTCATAATGGACAGGAACGGCGCGGCTAGGTGGTGCAGGTGTATGAGCCCTGTGCATTTTGGCTGTCGACTTATTAGACATCTCCGAAGCACATGCTTCATCGATGGCAATCTGAAGAGTAATATCAGTTCTTGCTAGAAGACGCCTCTGCAGCTTGATGTCCCTCACCCCACACACCAATTGCTCAAGAAGGGAGTCATCAAGATCACAGAACTCGCATTTAATCGCAGCAGCTCTGAGAGAAGCCATATAATGGTTGATGGATTCGCCCTCCTTTTGAAGGATGTGGCGGAAAGCGAAACGCCGGGAAATGTGAGAAGGAGCAGGCGTGTAGTGGGCCCTCAGCTTGGCCAAAAGAACGTCCCAAGGCACGGTAGAAATGAGCAGAGGAGCCAACAGAGCCCTGGCAGTCGAAAAAATCTCAGGCCCGCAGGAATTCAAAAAATGAGCCCGTTTCCTGTCATTTGAGAGTCCTGCATAGTCATTCGCCTGTAAGAAGCACTCAAAACGCTCCATGTAGGCATCCCAGGACTCTGTGGCAGGTTCGAAATGGGCGAATGTGGCCGGGGTAGCCATCGCAGCATGGCAGCAGAGATGGAGGCATGCCTATGAATCTCCTCAGTCGCCCCAAAAACCTCATCGCCAGTGTTAAGTTCGTTATTGGCGTGGAATAACAACTGAGGTGATTTAACTCGAACACAAAGATTTATTGTTTAACAACTAGTAACTAGAGAAAACTTGAGGTAGGCTGCTATTTATACCAGCAGCTGTCAGAGAGATAGCCAATGGTTAACGAGTATGCCTCCTGCCTAAGGAACTGTCAACTGGTAGCCAATCAGCGGCTAATCCTGGTTGCTGATGGCAACAGGCAGAGGACGCTACAATAGGAATGTTGAGCATTTGTCAAAGTGAAGTACACAGTGGTGGGATTCAAATAATTTAACAACCGGTTCTCTGCCCTAATGATTTCTTCCAACAGTTCACCAAACTGCTCAGAAAGTTAACAACCAGTTCTCCTGAAGTGGTGCGAACTGGCTGAATCCCACCACTGGAAGTACACTTTAAAAACTCTGCATGGTCCTAGAAAACTATACTATTAGTACTAAGGCCTGCTCTAGAAGGTTCCTGAGAATGCTAAAATCACTTCAATCAATTGTTTTTCTGCTTCAGTCGCCCCCCCTCCCCACCACTGCATCCCTTCAAAAAATAAAACAGAACCCTATGAGACTGGAACCTCCTTTCTCAGTGATCTGGGAGGCCCTGCCCATTATGGAAAACCATAAAGAAGGCACTGGGATAGAATGAAATGAGAGATGTGGATGGTTTGTTGTGAACATTTTCCTCCCTGCCATTACATTGTATGTGTAATGCAAGATGAAGGATGGCCTATATAAATTCTTGCCCCATTACCCAGGTGACATAATACTAGGTTATCTTGTAAAGCTGACATAATTAAAATTATTTAACCAACATGGACTATCTACATGTATTGGCAGGATATTTCTTTAAAATGTTTAGGGACTCAAAGCGAGCACTTAAATTTAGTTACAATTACTGAAAGAAAGCTACAGGCCTTTCTTATAAAAGTATGTAAATTAATGACTAATATAGTTTGTAACAGGTTCTAAAAGAGCTACAAACAAGCTCTTTCTTGAAAATGAAAACAGAAGAGAGGTGGCAGCAAATCCTACTTGCCAGTGTCTATGCTCATTTATCTTAATGACACTTTTTAATTGTTGAAATCCAGAACTTCATGTCATTCCCCTCCAGTTTTTCAAGCCAAAGAGGCAAAAACCGGCTTCATAAAGAACCACAAGGCTTGATTTACCTATGGAAAATATCATTTTTCCTCCAAATGCATTGTCACAGGGAGGTGACTAATTTGAGGTTGCAGTTCATGGGTTTAAGTTCAAAAGGATGCGTTTCTGGTTCTGAAAATAAGCAAGCTATAAAGCAATTCTAGTTTTACAAAATAGCAGTGTGCGAACAGACAGGCAGGCAGCACCACACAGAATGCTTCTGTAAGGATCTGTCATCAGTCTTTGTAACACCAAATCCTCCCTTAGCCAGGTGTTGAAAATGTGAGTGGAAGGGCAAGCTCTTAAAGGCCTAGATTTTTCCCCCCTTCATGTTTTAGGAAGTTACTATACCATAAGAAAGATGAAATACATTTTTATCTATTTCACCAAAATATATTTTCTTTTCACCTCAGAACCTCTGCATACATTAAGTCCTGGACTAAAGTTTTATTGAAACGATCCTATGCTCTCAATGAAATGGACCAGAGGTGAAATGGACCAATGAATTGGACCCCAAATTCTCTAATGAAATGGACCAGAAGAACACGATGCTAATCCAAATTTCAATTATTTTCAGTTGCTGAGAGAGAGAGAGAGAGAGAGAGAGAGAGAGAGAGAGAGAGAGAGAGAGAGAGGGAGGGAGAGGAGAGAGAGAGAGAGAGAGAGAGAGAGAGAGAGAGAGAGAGAGAGAAGGACTGTAAATTCAAGCAACTTTTTTTAGGGAGAGAGAAAGAAGGATAAATTACTGTGTTCAGTTTGGGGTACCCTATGCTTGTGTTTACATTTTTGAAAAAAAAAAGAGTTTGTAGTTATTCCATATAATGTATAATATTATATTGTCCCTCAGACACAAAGCTATCAGTAACCTTTTTGAGGTTGTGAAAAATATGTGAAAAGTGAAACATAAGTTAATTCTATCATAATCATAGTTGAACTATCTTTTGCAGATTTATATTTACTAACATGGATGTTTCAGAACTGCCTACCAGGAATTTTGATCTGCTGTTTTAAAAACAAAGCAGTTGATAAATACCTTTACAATAAACTAGAAGAAATGTCATAACATTAACAATCACAACTACATGAATTGTGAGACCTAAGGCCATCAGAACAGATGCAACCACTAAATGACAACAAAGAGAAATCCATTTTCCCTACCATCTAGTATAATTGTCTGAATTTTCTGCAACTCAGATCAGATACATTTTTGTAAACAATGACAAAATATTTTTTCAATCCTTTATTGTGATTCCATTTTTACATTAGATATTATTAAGCTGATGCTTGAATAGCAGCTAGATGGTGGCATGAGATGATGCTATCTGTTTCATCATGATAGATTTTTGGCAAGTCTATGAACCAGCTCTCTCCACATTTTCTAATTTCTTTCAGTTGTTTTATGTTCAGGCTGGTGTCAGCTTTGATATACCAGTCATTGTAGGTTTTGGTGACTTCATTTCCTTTTACACTGACCATCCTGAGCAAAAATGCATCTTCCTGTGAGTTTGATTGCATTAAAGGCTGAAATAACTAAATAACTAAGGTGGAATTTTGTGATTTTGCCTTCCAGTGATATGTTTGGTTTTATACATCCTAGTATTTGCTTGTTTGTCATCTTTGCCATTCAAAGTATGTCCAGGAGTCTTCCCCAGATGGAATGGGACAACTTGTCACAGCCAACTTGCCATGGCCAACTCACTGTGGGACAACTGGCCACAGCCAACTCACCATGGGACAACTCATCACAGTTGTATTCAACAAATACAAAAGTTAAATTAATTTCAATGAAACCATAGCCAATAATAATAAAATAAAGTCAATTGAGAAATACATACAAGACTTACAATAATTTAGATGCTGTGATGAGTTGGCTGTGGTGAGTTTCCTAGAACCTCTTGTCTAGTTTTTCCCCTGTCTAGTTTTTTCATTGTCCAACTTTCACAACTGTAGTTAGTATAGGAAAAATTAGTGTGAACTAATCTGAACCAGTTTTTTATGATGAAAGGATATTTTTATGATATGAAAATCAATACAATTATACCTTTTATTTTTATATAATTGACATCAGAATTTAATGCTTAATATGGCTTGATTGATTCTGTGTAATCAAGTTGGTAACAACTCTTAGTGACTACAAAGATTGATTTTTTTCATGATGATTTGTATCTAACCTGGTTTTTCAAGTCCTCTAGTGGTGCCACTTTAACTAAGCCCATCTACTTTGCTATTGATTGTCTTTTCTTTTCTCCACTTTCCCCATATTAGATCCTTCTTTAAAGACTAGGGCCATGATGGTGAACCAATGGCACGTGTGCCACAGGTAGCACGCGGAGCCATATCTGTGGGCACATGAGCATTGCCCTAGCTAAGCTCCAGTGCACATGTACGCACACATAATGTGTATGGGAGTAGTCCTTTATGCCTTGAGTAAAAATGCTGGGTTGTTTGGGTAGCAGTGATACAGGAAGATGCTGGAGATAGATAATCCCTTTAAAGAGAAGGGCAAGGTCATTGATTAAATTGTGTGTGAGAAGGCAATGGCCAACGATTATTGTACTGTTATCAAAAATATATATAATAATGGATAACAGTGTAAACAGTTTGTTGGGGAAATAGTAAATAATTATGGATGGTTACTGAAAAAGCTAGAATGAATCTTCATAGTATTTTGAATTTGTTTCTCACTGTATAATTGTACTTAATAGATGCTAATCATTATATCTGTGATTTTATTAAATAACATTTTACCCAAGATACCTTTTACATTTCAGTCATAAAAATCATGACCAAACTAAATTTTAATAGCTGATGATTCTCTACAATGATTAGGACATTTGGCAACTATTTGTAGCTGTAGTTACAGCTATTTTTAGTAGTTATAATAGTCATTTATGACTATAATAGTCATTTGTAATAGTCATTTGTAACTATTATATAGCTTGTGGCCTCCTCCTCATCTGGTATTTGAGGCAACTGAAAGAACTAATGTCATCCCATTTTTTTAAAAAAAATTCATTAGATACTCCAAGAAAATTTGGGCATGGGGATCTAACTGCACTTGAAAGTTCACCTTGTGTCATTCCATCCTTACTCTCTTAGCCATTGATGTAGCATAGTGCAGAAATGTTGTGGACTTAATAATTACTGGGGGACCCATCTGCCTAATGCTATTTAGAGTGCTGCTATCTATTGCCACCCCTTCATGGATTACTGCCTTGTCGTGGTGAAGGGGCTTGTGTAGCTCAATGAAGGTATGAGCTCTGCCGTGCAGGGCCATCCAAGATGGACAGGTCATAGCAGAGAGTTCTGACAAACATGATCCACTGGAGAAGGAAATGGCAACCCACTCCAGTATCTTTGCCATGAAAACCCCATGGACTGTACCAAAAGGAAAAAAGATACAATGCTGGAAGATGAGCCCCTCAGGTCAGAAGGTGTTCAATATGCTACTGAGGAAGAGCAGAGGGCTAGTACTAGTAGCACCAGAACGAGTGAAGCTACTGGGCCAAAGCTGAAAGGATGCTTAGCTGTGGATTCATCTGGTGGTGAAAGGAAAGTCCTATGCTGTAAAGATTTTTTCTCCATAGGAACCTGGAATGTAAGATCCATGAATCAAGGCAAGCTGGACGTGGTCAAACAAGAGATGACAAGTCTGAACATTCACAACTTAGGAATCAGCGAACTAAAATGGACAGGAATGGGTGAATTTAATTCAGACCATCAGGTATACTACTGAGGGCAAGAATCCCTCAGAAGAAATGGAGTAGCCTTCATAATCAATAAAAGAGTAGGAAATGCAATACTGGGATATGATCCCCAAGATGACAGAATGATCTCAGTTCGAATCCAAGGCAAACCATTCAATATCACAGTAATCCAAGTCTATGCCCCAACCACTGATGCCAAGAGGATGAAATTGACTGGTTCTATGAAGACCTACAGCACCTTATAGAATTAACACCAAAAAATGATGTCCTTATCATCATGGAGGATTGGAATGCTAAAGTAGGAAGCCAAAAGATAACTGGAATAACAGGCAAGCTTGGCCTTGGAGTATAAAATGAGGCAGGGAACAGGTTGATAGAATTTTGTCAAGAGAATATGATGGTCATAGCAAACACTCTTTTCCAACAATCCAAGAGACAACTTTACACATGGACATCACCAGACAGTCAACACAGAAATCAGATGGACTATGTGCTCTGCAGCCAAAGTTGGAGAAGCTCTATACAGTCAGTAAAAACAAGACTAGGAGCTGACTGTGGCTCAGCTCATGAGCTTCTTGTTGCAAAATTTAGGCTTAAATTGAAGAAAGTAGGGAAAAGCACTAGGCCACTCAGGTATGAACTAAATCATATCCGTGATGAATATACAGTACAGGTGACAAATAGACTTAAGGAATTAGATCTGATAGACAGAGTGCCTGAAGAACTATGGATGGAGGTTTGCAACATTGCAAGAGTTGGAAGGGATCTTGGTGATCTTCAAGTCCAAGCCCCTGATTGAGCAGGAGACCCAAGAACCGTGATGGTGAACCTATGGCACGTGTGCCACAGGTGGCACACGGACCCATATCTGTGGGCACCCGAGCGTTGCCCTAGCTCAGCTCCAGCGCGCATGTGTGCACCGGCCAACTGATTTTCAGGCCTTCCGGGCCCACCAGAATTCAGGAAATTGGTTGTTTCTGGCTTCTGGAGGGCCTCCCAGGGAGGGGGAGCCATTTTCGCCCTTTCCAGGCTCCAAGAAAGCCGCTGGAGCCTGGAGAGGGCGAAAAACAGGCCTTCCAGGTCCACCGGTAACCTTTTTGCTGTCACATGCCAAAAGCATGGGGGAGCATGGGGTGGGGTCATGCGTGCATGTCCGGAGGGCAGGGTGTGGGGGGGCATTGAATTATGGGTGTGCGCACACACACGCGCACAACCCCCATGCTCCACCCACTTTTGGCACGTGACAGCAAAAAGGTTAGCCATCACTGCCCTAGATCATTTCCGATAAATGACTATCCAGTCTCTTTTTAAAAATCTCCAGTGATGGAGCAGCCACAACTTTTGTAGGTAAGCTATTCCATTGGATTATTGCTCTCATCATTAGGAAATTTCTCCTTAGTTCTAGGTTGATTCTCTCCTTGGTTAGTTTCCATCCTTTGTTTCTTGTCTTGCCTTCTGGTGCTTTAGAAAATAGTTTTACCCACTCTTCCTTGTAGGGGGCTCTCAAACATTAGAAAAATGCTATCATGTCTCCCCTAGTCCTTCTTTTCACCAGACTAGACCCAATTCCTGCATCTGTTCTTCATATGTTTTAGCCTTTAGCCCCCAAATCATCCTTGTTCTTTTCTGCACTCTTTCCAAAGTCTCAGCATCTTTTTAATATTGTGGTGACCAGAACTGGATGCAGTATTCCAAATGTGGAATACCAAGGCTTTGGTAAAATGGTACTAGAACTTCACAAGACTCTAGAACTTCATTCTATCCCTCTATTAAAGCAGTCTAGGATTGCCTTGGTTTTTTTGGCTATTGCCGCACACTGCTAGCTAATATATAAGAGATTGTCCACTAGGACTGCAAGACCCCTCTCACAGTTATTGATATTGATATTGATATTGAGCCAAGTTTCACTACTCTGTATCTGTACAGTTATTTTTTTTCGCTACGTGTAAAATCTTATTTTTATCTATCTAGAGATACACACATTTATTTTTTTAAAAAATATAGCAAGAGATAAATGGTTTGCCTTCTTCTTGCCTGAACTGCTAACAGTCCTTGAAGGACTCATCCAAGTCTTCAACAAGCCCATTCTTGAGAAGCTTTTTTTAAAAATTAAATTTAATCTATGCAATTCTTGAAATAGAAGTAACCTTCAAATAAAAGAGTGCTTCTTGAATATATTTTGAAAATGCTTCAACTAGAGCACGGGTGTCAAACACGAGATCCGCAATGTGGTTGGATCTGGCCCATGGGGCCATCCTGGAAAATGTAAGGCTCCAGACTGTTTCGCTTTGGCCTGGTCTACCCAATGTGAAGAGGAAACATTGGGCCTATGTCGCTTCGGCCCAGTCTACCCAATGTGAAAAGGAAATATCGGGCCAACATGGCTTCAGCCTGGTCTACCCAGTGCAAAGAGGAAACATCAGACCAGTGTGGCTTTGGCCCGGTCTACCCAATGCAAAGAGGAAACATGCCAGCAGTTTGGGGAGTAGCATCAAGCTGGCCATGTCCACCCAGTTGGCCATGCCCACCCAGTTGCCCATGCCCAGTGAATGGCATCAAGATGACCACGCCCACCCACCCAACCACATCCACACCTTGGCCATGCCCAGCCCCCTGAGGTCAATCACAGCCCTGATGTGGCCCTCAATGAAATTGAGTTTGACACCCCTAAATTAGAGGATTGTCCTCAACAGAATACATATAGCACTGATTTTCAGCTATTTATTTCCCTTCTCACTGAATCTATTTTTCACCCCTGAATAGGCCTGGAATATGGAAGAAGAAGAATAATACCGGGCGGTTTTGGTCCTGACAGTATATAAAGTGGTGTTTTACATCAGGAGAGACTACTTTAAGCCGCACGACTGCATACTATTGTTTTGGAGACCTTTGATGCTAAAATTCAGCAGCACAATTTCCCATCATTTTGAGGTGGAAAGCATATGGAAATGAGGAACAATATCAGGAATACCTCATTTCCCAAAGCTGCAAAAAAAAAGCAGAAAACTCTGATCTACCCACATATGATGGAGTTACACCAATTTTTCATCCCTGTTCTGTCCACTATAGTTTTTGTCTATGCCAAAATTGGTTTACAGTCACCTAAAATGGGTAATCCATTGTAGACATCAAAAGTGGGTGGACTTCCTCACTGGATCTGTAAAATTAAATTTTGTAAATCATTTGGTATCACTTGCAAAACTTCCTTGTTTGAAGAATTTTTGAAAAGCTTTTTACAGAAGATGTGTGAACCATTTACAGTACTGTCATGTCACCAATGACATCATCTAATAATGTTTGCTTTGCACTAGGAATTAAAGATATGGATGTACTTTAGAAAACAAATAGGAAAACTTTTTTTGAGAAATAAACCAAATGCCACTTTTCTTTAGTATCTTCTACACAGTGTATATCATCTCTTACAGACCACAGTTTACCTCTGCTAATATTTATACAAGGAGCATATCATTATTTAAACTGCAGTTTAATTGCAGTTGCATCATTTAGATTAAAATACACTTTAATTGCATTTAATTTCTGTGTGGTTGCAATTAAAATACACTTAGTCACACCCTCTCAAATATCTCTTCGAAATGTTGAGTCAATAACTCACCAAGGCCTTAACTATATACTTAGTAAAGCATCAATCAAAATGAATATAAGCATGTTCGTGAAATCCCTGAGGATTTCAGGGGGAGTCTGGAGAACACGTAGGAATGCAGATTGTCTCCCAGCAGCACTAACTGGTAGTAGCTCATCATCTGATTAGAAAGTGCTCTGAGAGAAACTCAGGGTAATAGAGTAGATTGTGATTGAAATTAAAATTCAGCATAATTTAAATGGACTGACGGCATAATTTTAATCCACTTCACTATGGAAGAAAATGCAACTGCAGTTTAAATATGGATGGATGCTGTCATGCTGATATCATACTAACATAGCTACACTTTGCTTAAACTCCCAAAATAACATCTGTGTTAATAAATTATGTACAGCAGAACTCCATCTTATGCATCAGTTTCAAACATTCCTGGATCAGGAAGCCCTTCTCATGATCACTCATGCTTTGGTCACCTCTCAACTGGATTATAGGAATGTGTACTATACATGGGATTGTTCCAGTGGTGAAATCCTACCGGTTTGCACCGGTTCGGACAAACCAGTACTGATAAAAGCTACCGGTTCAGCGAACGGGTAGTAAAAAAATAGCTGCCAGTTGGTCCGAACTGGTATTCCGGGCGATCAGCTATGCTGCGCGATTTATATTCGCTAGAAAGCAGGATTTCTAGCGAATCTAAATAGTGTGGCACAGCTGTTTCCCCTCACTGTTCTACTTACCTTCTTAATTGTCCTTTTTCCATGCAAAGCACACATTTGGCACACATTGTGCATGCGCAGGCAGCGAACTGGTGGCAAACCATGGAGGATTTCACCACTGGATTGTTCTTAAGTCTATCCAGAAGCTACAGCTGTTCCAAAATGCAGCCCTTGACTACAGTTGTTCATTTGTACAGTTTACAGGTGCTACTTATTTTGGCCACATAACATTACCATTTTGAGAATTGCACTGGCAATTTCATTTGACAATTCAAACTGATGGTTGTCAGCTGTAAAGTCCTACGTGGCTCAGGTCTGGAGTATTTATATCACCATCTATTTCTCTGATAATATCTACATAGGGGTGTCAAACTGGTGACTCCACAAGCCGCGATCCGTGGAACTGAAGTGGCGTCACAGGCAGGCCATGCCCACTCCAGCTCCACAAATGGGAAAAACGTCACAAAACATCATGTGACGGCAATGTGTCTTGTCGAGTTTGACACCCGTGCTCTACAAGGAATGTCTACTCTTAAGGAGTACTGCCATGAGAATATGGGGCTGGCCTTCTTTGTCTCCATTCCGTGGAGATTAGATTGCCTGGACTTGTTAAGACCTGAACTTTGGAGTTTATGATCCCTTATGTAGTGACAGAGTAAATGACGGTTGTCCTATATTCTCAATACTGCTAGATATTATGTGATTGGTTAATTTTGCTACCTTAGTTCTTAATCATATTTTAATTATATTACTGCATATATAATATATGTGTTCAGAATTGTATGACTGAAGTGGCACACAGGCAAGAAAGCAAATGAATAGAATACAGGGTGGCCAAAATAATGAAAAAAACTATAGTAATTGGTTTACTAACAATATTATATTAGAAATATTTTAGCTTAGAAAGAAGGGAAAGAAGGAAGGTCTGGAAGTTTTAAAATGATAAATGACATGAAGATGATAGATTTTTCTCTTATAAATATTAACCTCCAGGTGAACCTTTGAAGTCAAGTGGTGAGAGATGCAAGAGAGAGAAAAGCAAGTGCTTCTTAACTTAGGGCATATTCAAATTTTTGGAAAGCGAGGCAATGGGCACCAGTTCTTTTTCTTTTAATATTAATTCTATTAGACTAGAAGTAGAATAAATTAAAAACTAATACAAATTACAAAAAATGAAATGAAATGAAAAATAAAAAGTGTAGAAAAGAACCAATAGAAGTAACTTTCCTCTTCATAATTAATATAATTTTATCACCATCCATTAAAATACAACAAACAAATGCTGTCTTCCTCTCATATCTCATCTTTTAACTATAAACAAGATCTAAAAGCTTGATCATACATTTCATACCAGCAAAAGTCCATTAAGGATTATCAGAGATAACTACACATCTATTTTAACTTTGATCCAATAAACTAATTCTATATTAGTTCCACGTACTTTTAACAATCTTGGTTCTTAATGTTTTCAAATAATATCGTAGAACTTGATTTATTTTCAATTTTTTGTCCCTTCAAGACTTTTAACAGATTTCTTTTGTACATCCAGTAAAAAAGTTTCTCCAAATCATTATTTGGGTTTGATATTTTGTATATTCCTTTAAAATATTAAAACATCACCAATTTCATTTTATGTCCAGTATATCATCATTTTCCATATAATTCTTGTAACTTCTCATATTTAAATCCACATTCGAATCAATTCCAGTCTTATCTGGTATAACTTGTTTCTCTTCTGTGACATCATTAACACACTGTTTATGATATCACATTTTTTAAAAATAAATTTCTGAGCACATTGTTCATAACTATCCTTTAAGACATCATAAAATATTTTGTTCCATTCTTTGTTAACAAGTTAAATTTAAGCATTTTTCTTTATGTCTAATATTTATTTTTTTCTAGTTTTATTGCCCTCATATTTTTCTTGTGGGCCCTGGTAAATCTTGGCCCTATTCCAGCAGGGCACTTCTTTTAAAATGAGCAAGAAAATTGTTGCACAAAAATATGGATCTTTTGGTACTCCCAAAAGTGTCTCCCAAAAGAAAATATTTCACAAGTGAGACAGCACTGAGAAAAAAATTTCTCCATTGCTATTCTGTTACTGGGAAAAGAATCTCAGTGGAATGAAATGTCAAGTGTCCCAGCCCCAACCAATGGAAGTAGGTACCATAGTGAGTCTAGCAGTCTACATACATTTTCATGGAGAACAAGGATTGGGTATCAGCCAGTCCAATCTCCTACCCAATGCAAGAATGTGCAGCATCACTAACAAATGGCCACCAGCCCTTATTTAAACACAAACAAAAGTGAGTCCACTACTTCCGAAAGCAAGTCTGCTCATGCCTTACTGAAATCTCTTTCATTATCCTGTCTTCTAAAACAAATCTAAAAATTCTGTCCTGTGGAGGATCTCTGCACATCAGGCAGAAGTCTGGGGGTGGGGGAGAGAAGAAGAATCCTTTGTATATTCTCCAATTATCTATGTACAGTAGTCTTACTGTATCACTACCTACTGCATATAGAGTCTTGCAAGACTTAAATATAAATATTTTTTAACTTGGGGTGGTGACAGAAAATTATTACAGAGGATACATGGTGTAGATATTTATCAAGAATATTTTTACATAGCCATTAATTATTTGAAAACTATCTAATAACCTATTCCGTATGTTATCTTTCCCTTGTAAAGAAAAACCACAAACATAATGGCTCAACCAAATTAGTAGCACTCTAACTAGATAAACCATTTTAGAATGACTAGTAAAGAAAATAGAGGAATACACTACTTTTGGTCTAAAGAGGAATCAAGCAACAAGTCACAGTCTATCCAGATGAAGGGAATAGCTCAAAGGGATAAAATCTGTTCTAATTTGCAATTAGGGAGATGCAGACAAGGGTCTTGTCTCAGTACATACAGATTCGGATTAGGGAGTAGGAGACTGCCACTGGTAAGCAAACTGTGCAGCTGGTACATCGTTACTTTGCTGAATATAATGGAGAACAATAAATTATCCAGAGTTTGAAGAATTAAGGAATCCTGCCAAATCCCCAAGAATGCCTAACACTTGATAAGGAAAAAAAATGACTTAGTGCTATTTACGTTCTACTGTATGTTTCTCTTTAGGAAAGTATGCCCAATATTTATATTCTGTATTGCCAGAATATTTTATTCCACTGACTTGACCAGGTCTGTGATTTCCCAACTATCAAACCATGACACGGTAATTTTGTGAATGTAGAGATCCATAGCAATATCTAAGGGACGTTTCCCCAAGCTGACAACCTCCAGATATCTTGGAGGTTGCTAAATTGGAGAAGGCTCATTGAAATCAAAGTCTTTGGTTAATAAAGACTGCAGCTTGAAAATCTTGATTTCCTTCATTCCATTCCCAGAGATTAGATGATACCAGGGCTCTACCAATTCTGACTTTGATTTATGTAACACTCTTTTGTCTGTCGAGCAATTAACATTCTAAGAATAAGTTTAATTTCCATTCAGATTGTACATTGCAGCATCTGAATAATACTAATAAGATTTTTGAAAAAGATAATGGTAGTAAGAATTTTTTATAACTTTTCAGTATTTACAAACCATAAGGACAATTCTTTGCTTCAAACAGATTTCTCCAAATCGGTGCTCTTCAGATGCGTTGGACTTCATCTCCCATCATAACCAATAACTATTGGGGGATAATGAAAGTTTTGGTCCAATTATTTGGAGGATCTGGGACAGAAAGATAGTGGCTTAACAAAAAGAAACGGTTAATGTCCAAATAATCAGAAATTCACCAATGTTTCACGTGCTATCTGGAATACCTGACAGCACTATGATTTTTTATTCATAATGAACTTACTAGGAGGATAGTAAGAACAAACGCTGTCTCTCATCCTTGCCCCACTACCTGTAATATGCTAATATTAACAAATGGGCTACATTAAACAGAACTTAGTTACTGGTATTAGTCTTTTCTGACTCTTTCCCCTCTCTATAAGTCTTGTGCTCCCCAAAAGCTACCCTTTTCTCTCTGACCTTTCTTTGAACTGTGCAGACAATATAGCCAAATGAATTATGGTCATAGAAAGCCATTAAGAGCACATGAAAATCAGTAACAATGAATACTGAAATAGCTTTTCAATCATTTATCCCAAGACATGGGTGAAAAACAGCAAGTTAATTTTTGCTTTTGGTTCTTTAAAACGAATCAATGTGCAACTGTATATTCTGCAGATTTGTGTGGTGTTTTTCTCAGGTAAAAAAAATGTTTTGAACAAATTCCTCAGTATTTATTTAAATAACACAGTAACAACTTCAAAAATAAAAAAGCACAATAAAAAACCCCACCCCCTGCCAACTATTGGAGGAAAACATATTAATGTGGGAGTGTATATATCTTGGGGATGTATGCAAAATTTTAAAATTCACATTTAGTATTTCTCTTCATAAAGACATTTAAATAGTTGAAAGTAATCTCTAAGAATCCATTTTAAAACAATAAAAATGTGACCAGGAACTGATTGTGGAACAGATTCCCTAGTCCTCATGTGCAAATTCCAAGTTCAAAAGTTGAAGAAAGAAATCAATCAGTTTCTACATATATGCATAATTTACAAAGGTATCATCCAGAATTATCACTGATGGGGAATAGAGGAGCTATGGGATGAAAACAAAAATAGAATAGAATAGAATAACCGAGATGGAAGGGACCTTGGAGGTCTTTTAGTCCAATCCCCTCCTTAGGCAGGAAACCCTATACTCGCGATGGAAAACCTTTTCCGGACCGAGTGCCCAAAGTGCATGAGTGCACGTGCGAATGAGCATGCCCGCGCCTGAATCCCCAAAAGACAATGTGCATGTGCTCCTGTATGTGCCCCACCCCCACACATGTGTGTGTGCCTCTCACACACGCTTCTGCCCCTGAGCGCATGTGCGGCAGAGAGCCAATGAACAGCTGGCCAGCGGGAGGCGCGTGTGTATGCAGGGCAGAGTTAAACTGGGGCACTGTGTGCCACCTCTGGCACGCATGCCATAGATTTGCCATCATGGCCCTATACCATTTCAGACAAATAGTTATCCAATCCCTTCTTTAAAACTTTCAGCATTCACAATCTCTGGAGGCAAGTCGTTCCACTGATTAATTGTTCTAACTGTCAGGAAATTTCTTCTTAGTTCTAGGTTGCTTGTTTCCTTGATTAGTTTGTATCTGTTGCTTCTTGTCCTGCCCTCAGGTGCTTTGGAAAATAGCTTGACTTCCTCTGATTTCAAGATGAGTGTGAAAAGAGACTCTCAAAGGTGGAAAAAAAGAGAAAAGCAAACAGAAGGTCAGAACAAATGGACATTGCCAAACAGAGAAGAAAATCCAAAGTGAAAAATCTAAGGAAGATGAAAGCAGAAATGAAAAATCCTTAAAAAAAAAGTCTTAATTTAGGAGTTGGTATGCTAAAGGACAGATAGTAACTGATTCAAAGAAAATCAAAGATAGAAGGAATATACTGAAATACTGTACAGTAGAGATGTCAACACCCAAGTCATCATCCAGTACTAAAGGTTTTTGTAAGGTTAGAAGATATTCTTTACTTACAAGAACCTCTAGTATTGAATGATGAAGTTAGATCAGGTCATTACCAAGTTGGAAGACTACAGGAACTGATGGAATGCTCACAGAAATATGGCAAGGTTCTAACCAAGAACTTTTAATCAAAGTTCTAACCAAGCAAGCCTGGAGAATGATGGCCAACCAATTGGAAGAGATCAATCTACATTCCAATATTAACTCCCACACAATTCCAAAAGTAGAGGTAGAAGAGTATGTAATTTCACATGGTGACTAAATAATGTTTAGGATTATCTAATGGAAATTAGATCCCTACATGGAAAAAGAGATACCAGATGTTCAAACTGGTTTAGAAATGGCCAAGGAAGACAAGTTTTCTTCAGGAATAGCATGTTTCTGGATAATTGATAAATAGTCACAATGTGTTTTATTGATTATAGAAATGACTTCAATCACATCAAGCTGTGGAAAGTGCTTTGAAAAATGGGAATTCCAGAATATCTTATTGTCCTCATAAGAAATCAATATATAAGTCAGGAAGCCATAGTGTAGACAAAATGTAAAGCCGAATGACTCCAGGTTGGCAAATGAGTACAAGGCTGCACACAGTCCCTTTATTTATTCACTCTCTATATATTAAAGGATTGGAAGAAGATGACCATGTTAAAATTGCAGGAATAATCATCATTGACCTGTGCTATGCTGATTACAATACTCTGATAGCTGAAAATGAAAATGAATTGTCAGCTCTAATAATAAAAGTCAAGGACGACCATGAAAAAAATGGGATTAAAATTAAAGATTAAGAAGACCAAACTAATGCTAGGTAGAACAACCAATTTAGAACTGACAAGATAGTTATAAATGTGATAGATTCTGGAAATTACAGAATACAAAATAACAGAGTTATTTCCCTGCCCCTCCTCCTCCCCCAACCATCACAACTGACGAAGTTTCTTGGGTGAGAAACAAAATGCTTTGTTCTTCTTACTCAAGCAAAAACAGCCCAGTTGTCTTTTGAAAAAGTACTTTTGAGACTGCTATGACCTGGATGACTGAGAATCTCCACAGACAGAGTTTGAAGGGACCTTGGAAGTAGTATAGTCATGGGGGCACCTTTTTGGTTAATGAATTCTCATTTTTTATTTTTTATTTATTTATTGTAATTTGTCAAACAGAAACGAAAACAGGAATAATATAAAAATACAATGAAAGGGATGATAGGCACGTTAGCGCGCTTATGCATGCCCCCTCTACGGACATCTTAAGTATGACGTGAGGTCCACGGAAGTCAATTTGTGACTAAAACAGTGAAAATTTGTAGCTGAGACAACTGTATCAGGTAGAGCATTCCAGACTTGGACAACTCTATTACAAAAATTGTATTTTTTACAGTCAAGTTTACAGCAATTTACATTGAATTTAAAGCAATTGTCCATGCGCGTATTATTGTGATTAAAACAGAAAAAATCATTTATAGGTAAAACATTACTATGTACAATTTACAATCCTACTTTACCTCTCAGCGGCTTTCGATACCATCGACCATGGTATCTTACTGCAACAACTTGTGGGGTTGGGGGTAGGAGGCACTGTCTTACAGTGGTTCTCCTCCTACCTCTCAGGTCATTCGCAGTTTGTATGGGCGGGGGGGGGGCAGAGGTCCATCCCGAGGCCCTAATCTGTGGGGTGCCTCTGGGGTCGGTTCTCTCCCCCCTACTCTTTAACATCTATATGAAGCCACTGGGTGAGCTCATTCGTGGTTTCGGGGTGAGGTATCATCAATATGCTGATGATACTCAGTTATATATCTCCACCCCGGACAACCCCGGGGATGCCCTTTCCGTGATGTCCCACTGCCTGGAGGCAGTACGGGCCTGGATGGGTAGGAACAGGCTCAGACTCAACCCCTCCAAGACTGAGTGGCTGTGGATGCCAGTGTCTCGTGTTCTAGAAGTCCCATCACTTGTGATGGGGGGGGAGGTGCTTGCTCCCATTGAAAGGGCCCACAACTTAGGTATCCTCCTGGATTCCCGGCTGTCTCTGGAAGACCATCTGATGGCCGTGACCAGGGGGGCTTTCGCACAGGTTCGCCTGGTGTGCCAGTTGCGCCCTTTCCTAGACCGCGATGCCCTTCGCACGGTCACTCATGCCCTGGTTACTTCTCGTTTGGATTACTGCAACTCCCTCTACATGGGGCTGCCCTTGAGGTGCACCTGGAGGCTCCAGCTGGTCCAGAGTGCGGCTGTGTGGGTGGTTACGGGCGCTCCCCATTACTCCCGTGTAACACCTCTCCTACGTGAGCTGCACTGGTTACCAGTGGTCCTACGGATCTGCTTCAAGGTGCTGGTACTTACTTTTAAAGCCCTATATGGTATTGTGACTCCAACCCCTGAGCCCGTCTTATCGGAGGGAGAAGACTCTGAAAGTGAAGGAGAGAGTTGGCAAGGCCTTCCTCTCCAGGACCCTCCTCTCTGGCAATGCCTCAGGTGTCTTCCGAAGGAGAAGAGATAGGCCAGGAGCCAGGCACTTCCGAGCAGCCGCAGTTAGACAGTGACGGAGATAAGTCTTGGCTGGATCCCCGACAGCATCGGAAAGACAAGCGCATGCAGCAGAGAAGGAGGCGTACCAGAGATTAAGCTGAGTCACTGGACCACACCCCACAGGGGATAAAAGGGGGTGTGGTGGGCATTCAGGCTTTGTGACGGACAAAACGGAAAGCTAGCAAGTCATTCTGCATTTCTGGAACTTTGTTATATGCTCTGCTTGGATTGATTTTTTGGACTGGACTTGATTATTCTTTGGCTTTTGTGGACTTTGATGTTTTCGGTCGGAGGAAATAAACCTCCCTTTGTAAGTAAAGACTGTTGGCAAGCAGCCACTGGGTTGCTGCCAATTCTGTTATCAAAGGAAATTCTTGTCTGTTGGTTTATTTTAACTCTTGGTTGACTGCTGGTGTGCGTGTGTGAGACGGGGACAGAACACATGGCTTAGGTCCGGGGTATCTGCAGGACCATCTCCTTCCCGCCTCCCACCATCCTGTTTGCTCACAGAGGGCTGCCCTCCTCATTGTCGACGAGACAATGTCGGCTGGCGATGGCCAGGGGTAGAGCATTCTCTGTGGACACTCCTGCCCTCTGGAATGAATTACCCACCAAGCTTCAGATGGCACCTGACCTCCGCTCCTTCCGTCGAGACCTAAAGACTTGGCTGTTTCAACAAATGGGTTGATTCTGATTCCTGGGTTTTATTATCTATTTGTAGTGGTTTTAATTGGTTTTAATTACACTTCCTTTTATTATTGTATGTTTTTTTAACTTGTGTGCGCCGCCCTGAGTCCTTAGGGAGAAGGGCGGCATATAAATTTTTGTAAATAAAATAAATAAATAAATAAATAAATTTTGTATGCAATACCTAAATCTGACCACAAGCGACACAGTTCCAAGTTATCCAAACCAAGAATTTCAAGCCTAGTAGCATAGGGAATTCTATTATGTACAGAAGAGTGCAAAACTTTTCTCATAAAATACTTATGAACCCGCTCGATTGTACTAATGTCAAATATATGGTAGGGTTCCAAACAGTTGAACAGTACTCTAAGATTGGTCTAGCGTAGGTTTTACAAGCTCTAGTTAGCAATACAATATTTCCAGAAAAGAAGCTTCGTAGAATTAAGTTTACAACTCTTAGTGCTTTCTTAGCAATGCTGTTACAGTGAACTTTGGAGCATAGATCATCAGAGATAAGTACACCTATTGACAAAGTCCTTGACAAAGTGACGGTCATCTGCTAGATCAATACCACCTAGCTTATACTTGACATTCTGATTACATTTACCAATATGTAAGACAGAGCATTTATTAATAGAAATTTGAAGTTGCCAAGTGGTTGACCATTTCACTTGTTTTAAGGAGACTCCTTGCCTCTTACCAGGATGTGCTTATGCATTTGTGGCTAAATAGTAGCAGTTTTCTGCTTTTTAAAGATGACACAATGGTCTATGGGAATATCCTTGAGAGAAGGAGGAAAAAGAACCACAACTAGGGTAACAGTCAGGCATGAGAAAGCTCAGCCCAGAAAGAATGGGGATATGTTGAGCATCTGAGAAGGGACTCTTTCTGGTTCCCCGGAAAGGAAAGGGAGAAGAGATGTGCTTTCAGACATGTGGGATTCTGTTACTGTAACCTTACAATAAAGGTAGTGTTTTGGTCTCTTGTTTGGATTACCTGACATATCTTGAAAATATTGTGGGGATGAAAATATTGTATTACTGCATCATTTTAACTGCTGAGCTAAATCACATGTTGCCTTAATACACAGAAGACTGGCTGCATTAGTAATTTGCTACCCTTTACAATAGCCATTTATTTCACTATCCCGTAATTATAGATTAATCTAAAGAAATACTATTTCCAGCTTGTTTGGAAATATTAATTAAACTCTGAAGTTGTTTTTAAAACCTGTTGTGCTATTCCAAAACATCCTCTATAATGGCTATTTCTAGGATGCTGCGAAGTGTTGAAAGAATCAAATTGGTACGTGTAGGTGTTATGTGCTAACTTTTTCATTAATTTTAATTGCTTTCATTCTGTTTGGTAGTTAGCATCTTTAATCCTTAGTATCCCCAGAATACAGTGGGATTTATGCCAATTTTATTTGCATTGACTGGTTCCCTCAAGCCAGTTAATAATAAAAGACTTTAACATGTTTTAATAACAAGTAAAAATGTGCTGAGACAGTTACGAAGAAGAAGAAAGCTCTAGTGTTCACAAAGGGTATAAAGTTCCACTAGATGCTTTACATATAAAGTATATAGCGGCATAAAACTTATAAACTACTTGCTATATCATTATGATTAGTTTCTGGGTTTAGGAAATCACTCTATGTGTGTCTAATCACTTTATAGGTATCTAAGAAGAGAAGATGGAGCACTTCTGCACTGGAGACAAATTCCTTGTGTGTCTAATCACACTTGGACAAATAAAGTATTCAAGTAAAATAGCCCATCTTCATAAATCTGCTTAGAAAACTATTCTGGACCTAGATGTAAAACTGAATACTTTTTGTGGGGAAAAACCAAGCTCTCCTCATCTC